GGACTCAATTTGCACTATTTCTGGTAGTCTGCAAAGGCCCTAAATTACTTAAGTATTGTCTCATTATCTTTTTAAAAAAGATTTTCCATTTTTGTTGAATTTTAAAAAGCCTTATTTAAATTCTTATTTTTGGGTCCTGCCTTTTTAATTTCTCTCATTATTAGTTCTTAAGATCTTTTATTTAATTTTTGTGTTATATCATTGTTATTCCATTCTGAATTTATATTGAGAAATTTTTTTCTGCTGGTTATATTCTAGCCCCAAGTAGACCTTTAAAATTAATATTAAGCGGGACCAAGTATGTATTTTTGGTCCCAAATGCTTCCCAGTTGCTCTGCTAACCCAACTGGGTCTCTTAAGAAGGATTTTATTTCCTTTTAAATGTCTTCTCTTATTTTATTACTTTGTTCTCTATTGGAACTTCTTATAGAGGGATTATAATTTCTGGGATACTTTCTCTGTTTCATTATCAAAAGAGCGGTTGACCAATTTTTATATTTTTCCAATTTCTATTGATTTTCCATTTTTATGAACTGTCCCTTCTTTAACAAAAATTTATCTTAAAAACAATTTTTAGCTCTTGTGATTTTTAAGGGTTGGTGTTATTATTATCTTTTTATCATCTCTTATCCAAAGGTCCCACTCATTCTTTTTAACCTTCATCCCAAGAAGAGCAGTGGATAAAACATGATCTGGCTCCTCTTAAGAGAAAGGCCCCTTTGCATTAACATAACTCTCTCTCTCTCTCTCTCTCTCTCTCTCTCTCTCTCTCTCTCTCTCTCTCTCTCTCTCTCTCTCTCTCTATATATATATATATAGCAATATTTTTATTAGATCATTTTCTTAAACATAAAATGTAAGAAAAGTTGGGGGTCATCTTATATGCCAAGTCATCTTATATGGTGGAAAATACAGTAGTCCCTTAACATGAATGTCTAGTCATAGCTGACTGTAGGGGGTGGTGCTCATCTCCATTACTAAGCCGAAGAGCCAGTGTTGTCTGAGGACTATTTCTGTGATCATGTGGCCAGCATGATTGTACAGAATGCTGTTTACCTTCCTACTGAAAAGTGGTACCTATTTATCTACTTGTATTTGCATGCTTTCGAACTGCTAGGTTGGCAGAAGCTGGGACTAGTGACAGGAGCTCACCCCATCAGGCAGCACTTGGGCTTCAAACTGCCAACCTTCTAATTTTCCAAATTGGCATTTTAACCACTAAGCCACCACATCTCTCTCAAGTTGGTTGAAAGACCAACTTAAACTGTGCCTCCCTGTATTGCTGTCTCTGCTATATAATCAGTTTCCTGAGGTCCGAAATTCAAGAGGCAGCAGGTTTCTTTATAAGCTTTTATAAAGACTGTCCTGGGAAGGAAAGACCTTTGTATACATGGGCCATAGAACAGAAGGCAGGAGGAAGATCCTTCAGCCCACAGGGGCTGAGGTTCTATATCAAGCAGGCAGAACATAACACCAAGAAAATGCTGTTTTCCACATGGCTCATAACTTGTCAAGTTCCAGGAGAGACCACTGGCTGCAGCTTAACAGTGGGAGAGACAAGGGGGAGGGTGACAATTGTGATGTTTGACTTGAAAGATGCTAAGGTGCACTGGCACACAGAATGGGGACCCACAACAATCCCCTTTCCTTCCCTTTGGAGCCCAGATCAGCCACATCTTCCTCATCTAAATTTAGGGCCTGAACACACTGCCAGAAATAATCCAGCTTAAAACCACTTTAACTGCCTTGAATCAGTGCTAGGGAATCCTGGGAACGGTAGTTTATTGTGGCATCAGAGCTTTCTGACAGAGGGTTCAATGTCTCAGAAAACTACAATTCCCATAATTCCCTAGCATTGAGCCAAGAGAGTTAAAGTGGTCTCAAATTGGGTTATTTCTGGAAGTCTGTTCAGGCCCTTCTTCTTCTTCCCATTGATAAGCAGCAATCACAGTTGCCCCTCTTGGGATGTGACAGCCATTAGGAAGGTTGTTTTGGACAGAACAGCAAGTGTAAGGTAATAGCCCCCTACATTCATCCAAAAAGAGACACAGACACATGTAAAACCACACTTAATGCACATGTCTGCCACTAACAGGATGCTGCCCAGAGACTCCAAGCCCCCTTATATCCTCTGGCCAGGAAAGGCCCCACTAACTGATCATTCACCTCCCTTTTTCTGCTTAGTTGGCACTTCACTCCCCCACTCTCCCTCTGCTTGGGCCATAAACACTGCATGATCCCATTAGCAACAAATGCAAAGATATGCCCATTTTTTACAAAAAGGCTTGCCTTGGGCAGAAGAATATTAAAGATACTCCCTGTATACTCCCAGGGAAAACCCTCAAGATTTATTTTTTAATTTTTTGCAAATATGCATACTGTGCAGAGGTTTACTCAGCTTGCATACTCCACTGAATAGACTGAAACTGCTTCAGTTCTAACCATGCTCCTTATTTTTATTGAACTCAGTAGAACTTACCTCTGACTATGGACACAAAAGTACAGTCATAACACCGCAGTCGAAGCCAGCAGCTTCAAGGCAACATTTTGTCTCTTCTTGCAGAGAGAAGCAATTGTGCTTAGTTTTATTGTATATGACACATTGTCTATTACAAAACATTGTATTATTATCACTTGCAAGGAGAGGTGAGCAGGGGATTCATCACTAACAGCAATGGGAAAGAGAGGGAGCAATGTGCACACAAGATAATGGCCCCACAGTCCTGATCCAAGGGGTCTCACAGTATAACGGCATGGCCTACAAACAGCCAGTGTGGTGTGGTGGTTTGAGCATTGACTGTTACTCTGGAGACCAGGGTTCAAATCCTAAGTTAGGGCCTTTGCAGACTGCCA